GACGAGTGACTATTAATCCAGTCAAATCTGTCGTTATCTCAACCCTTCGTGCCCCACGTTGGGCGCCAAAAAGAACTGTCGTGGTTTAAACCCAGTCAGGTAATTCGTTCGCTCACTTCCCCCCCTTTCTTGCCCTCCCCCTGCTCTCGGAGGGACGGAGAGGAGAATCGAAAAGAATGCAACTCCCACAGGTTGAGATAAGAACAGTTTAGTAACTAAGGTATAACACAAATCACTACTGCTACCACCAATGATAATAATGATAAAGGAAATAACAAGAGAAGAGAATACATCATCTCACCACCAGCCGACCAATAACTCGCCCCCCCAGCCTGACCAAGCTCCGACCGATACCTCCTCCAGCCCTGCAGTCTCCCAGCCCTTCCGGCTCACTCCCAGTTACCTCCTGGGCATGACGTGCTGTGGTATGGAATACCTCTTTGGTCAGTTTGGGTCAGGTGTCCTGTCTCTGCTTCCTCCTGGCTCCCCCTCCTCCCTGGCAGAGCATGAGGCTCACAAAGTCCTTGGCCAAACCAAAACATCCTTGTTATCAGCTCTGTTCCCGAGCTGAAAGTCAAAACACTGCACTGCACCAGCTACCAAGAAGGGGAAAAATGACTGCTACTGCTGAACCCAGGACACCTTCTTACCCACAAGGGCACAGTGTTGGCTCATGGTCATCCTGTCATCCACTAGGACCCCCAGGTCCCTCTCCCCTACACTGCTCTCTAACAGGTCGTTTCCCAACCTATACTGGAACCTGGGGTTGTTCCTGCCCAGATGCACGACTCTACACTTTCCCTTGCTATATTTCATCAAGTTATTCCCTGACCAACTCTCCAGCCTGTCCAGGTCTCGTTGGATGGCAGCACAGCCTTCTGGCGTGTCAGCCACTCCTCCCAGCTTAGCGTCATCAGCAAACTTGCTGATAGTACACTCAATTCCCTCATCTAAATCGTTGATGAATATATTAAATAATACTGGTCCCAGTACTGACCCTTGAGGCACTCCACTAGTTACAGGCCTCCAACTAGACTCTGCCCCATAGACTACAACTCTCTGGCTTCTCTCCTTCAGCCAGTTCACAGTCCACCTCACTACCTGATCATCCAGACCACACTTCCTCAATTTAGCTGTGAGGCTGCTGTGGGAGACTGCGTCAAATGCTTTGCTGAAGTCAAGGTAGACCACATCCACCGATCTGCCATCATCCATCCACCGTGTTATTTCCTCATAAAAGGCTAAGAGATTGGTCAAACATGATTTCCCCCTGGTGAAGCCATGTTGACTGCCCCTCATAACCCTCTTATCCTTGATATGCCTTAAGATGGCACCAAAGATAAGGTGTTCCATCACTTTCCCAGGGATGGATGTGAGGCTGACCGGTCTATAGTTACCCAGGTCCTCCTTCTTGCCCTTTTTGAAGACTGGAGTGACATTTGCTTTCCTCCAGTCCTCAGGCACCTCTCCCGTTTCCCAAGACTTGGTAAAGATGATGGAAAGTGGTCTAGGACTTCCGCCAGTTCCCTCAGCACCCGCGGGTGCATCCCATCTGGACCCATGGATTTATGGATGTCCAGATTGCTCAACTGATCTCTAACCCATTCCTCATCGACTAAGGCAAACCGCTCCTTCGACCTCCGTCGACATTGCCTTCATGTCTGAGGCAATGTAGCTAGGGTTTTGATGACTGTTTGAGAACACTTTTATTTTTCATACCAATGCTGTACTATCCAGGTCTTGCAAATCAGACTACAGAGGAGTAGACCTGGAACAGCTCTTGCTCTATGGAGCATATTTGCATACACATACTTGGCTGTGTATGGAAGACTACAGCTCCACTCTTGCATTAAGCACACAACACCTGAACAATAATGGCTTTAAAAACTTTGTTATTTATGTGGGGCATGGCTTTTGAAAGAAACTCCTTTGGAATCGACGCCCAAGCTGCCCAACACCTCGGAACTACTGAAGTCTCAGACTATGCTTTTTCAGAGAGAAGTCAGAAATCAGTGATCCATGAAGTGATGCTTTTCCATGACTTGGTTATGGGGATTGAGTTCTTTGCCAGATCTGCCAATTCACCACAGCGGACAATGGTAGGTGCTATTTACTTGAAAATGAATGCATGAAATTTTTCTGTATTGAACAGCTGATTTTAGTAGGAGGGCTTAGTGTAGTCTGTGAATGATGCCAAAAAAGTCAGTAAATTTTCACCATCTCCTGCATGTTAAACACACAAGATGTGTACATATTTTTAAAGTACCTATATAAAAAAAAAAATGTACCTACAATAACATTCTGAGACTATTGATTTTTCTCTTGTAAACTGCAGGTTTCTCTGATCTTCCTATGGTTCGCTTGGCCAAATTTAGATGCCATCATCCAGTTTTGCATTTTTGGTTACTTAGGAGAGAGAAATTATAATTCTTGCCATAATCGTAGTCTACAACCTTGTTGAGTCTAAGATTCTCTTAAAAACAGTTTTTTTCACCTATTATTTTTCCAGTATAGTTTTATTCTTTTGAACTATTTTTATCTCTTTGTTTCCCTGGACTGGTATCCCATGACTGCACAAAAAATGCTTAAAAAAAATGTATGTTTCACATAACTGAGTACAGATTATTTTAATGCAGATTTCTAGACAAGCAGAAATTTGTATAAATGTAACTGAAATGAAAAACAAAAAAGAAAAAAGCCTTTTGGTTTATTTATTGCAAAAGCTGTTATTCAAAAACAGTTTATCCCAATGAAAGAGCAAAAATAAAATAGTAGAAAAATATGATTGTAATTAACCCTTGTAAACCACTGAAGCACAGCTGTCACTTTTTACTGACCTACTACAAGGCATATTGGCAGCACTTAAGTAAATAAATGTTTCTTTTGTTTGTTTGGAGTTTTTTTTTGGTTTTGGAGGGTTTCTTTTTAGATTTTATGGCAATAACTCTGTTTTTCAAAATTATACAATTTATAGAACAACAATTTATGGAAAATATTACAGAAATAATTAAATTTGACAAAAGCTTTACATTTCAGTATAATTTCTTTACTTCTGTAACGTCCTAATTTTTAGCTTTCATTTTCTGCTTTGGTATAAAAACTACATGCTGAGCTGTCATAATAACTATATTCACGTGACAGCATAAAATGCAATTTGCTTTTGGTAATGATGGAACTGGACATGGTGACAATATATTGCAAATTGTGAAAAATAGGAGAAATTCATACTCTCATTCTCAAAGAAAGTTCTCGCTCACTATAATTTTGATTTAGGGTGGATCTCATGTTTCAGTAATTACATGGGAATTCATCTAAAGCTATTTACTGAACACATGGCAATACATAAGATGACTTTTAAGGACAAAGTAGCAGGAAGTCCCAGTACCCTGGATTGGAAAAAGTCCAGGTGGTCAAAATTAATATAGAAACTAAAGGCACTGTTGTGGTTTAAACCCAGTCAGGTAACTCGTTCGCTCACTTCCCCCTCTTTCTTGCCCTCCCCCTGCTCCCGGAGGGACAGAGAGGAGAATCAAAAGAATGCAACTCCCACGGGCTGAGATAAGAACAGTTTAGTAACTAAGGTATAACACAGATCACTACTGCTACCACCAATGATAATAATGATAAAGGAAATAACAAGGGAAGAGAATACAACACCTCAGCACCAGCCGACCGATAACTTGCCCCCCTCAGCCCAACCAAGCACTGACCCATACCTCCTCCAACCCTGCAGTCTCCCAGCCCTTCTGGGCAACTCTCCGTTACATCCTAGGCATGACGTGCTGTGGTATGGAATACCTCCCTGGTCAGTCCAGGTCAGGTGTCCTGTCTCTGCCCCCCCCCGGCTTCCCCTCCTCCCTGGCAGAGCATGAGGCTCACAAAGTCCTTGGCCAAACCAAAACATCGCTATCAGCTCTGTTCCCAGGCCGAAAGTCAAAACACTGCCCTGCACCAGCTACCATGGAGGAGAAACATGACTGCTACTGCTGAACCCAGGACAGGCACTAAAGCAGAAACATTGTGAAACACTGAAACACTGTGGTGGGGAAACCAAAACCAAATAGACATGGTCGGATTGCCGAAAAGTTTTACCCTACCACAATAAAGAACAACTAATATAAAAAGCTTACCAAGTATGTGAGGGACAGCTAGACATATATAACCTGAGAAGTCATCCGATTTTAAGCAACACAACTTCTAAGCGGAGAAGTAAAATGCAAGAAAACTTAAGTGAAAATTCAGCAAGAGAAATTAAAATGATGAGATATATATATATATGCATAAGGGAGAAAAACAAGCATGTTTTTATAATTTTCTGGTGTCTTAATCCATTCTTCTCTTAACCTCTTGGGGGTTTTATGCCAGATACAAGGCAGAATTTAGTTTCAGCACTTTCTCCCTGAAAGTTGTATTTTTTCCTTCGGTAGTTTTAATGATAGTCTATTCACTGTTATTTTCTGGTATTTATTCAAATGTCATTTGCAGGAACTGTTAGGCCAAGAGTCTAATTGACAATATCCCACTTACATCTAAATGCTTCTTCTTACCTTTAGTCTGGTTGGATTATTTGTGCAGACCTTAACACTTGTGTCAGCAAATAATCTAACGTAGTACATAAAGCAAAAATGTTATATTTCTGTAGCTTGATATCTGCTAATTTAAGCTCTGCAGTTTCAGAAGCATTACAAGAGAATTGTAGAAAAATGGACAGTAAGACCTGATTTAGAAGAGCTCATTAACCACAACTCTGCTGAGTATGACTAGCAACGTCTCACAAAATGCTATTTTAGTTGTAAACATTTGTTTTAACATTGAACTTGTCTGAGGAAATAGATTTATTGTCATATTTTCTTTATTGAAAGGTATTTCTAAGTTTAAAGTTCTGTTTGTTGGTGTGCTAATCACTGTACACAGAAGTAAAAGCTGGTCACCAAGAATAAAAATGCTGAGCTAAACATCATCCATCATTCTATTAAAAATGCCTTTAAAGACAAATATTTCCCATTTTGTTTGGATTTTGCCTAGAGGAAAAAAAAAAAAAAAGCATGGGTGAGATCTCTGAAGTGTTCCTGCTTTTGGATTTATAAGAAATCCCAAATGTCCTTGAAAACTTTAACATAATGGAGATCCAAACAAAATAGAAGCCTGCCAGAAGACTGCTGAAAATGCACAGAAAAGATAGATTTCAGTGATGGGTCTTGACTTGTAGGATTAATTTAAGTTAGCTCTAAAATTCTGGATTTTCTATCTGCAATATTAAGAACAACAAAGAGCAACAGTGAAGAAAATAGTCTTGTTAGAGTTATATTATGCTTTTCCCCTTAGCTTTAGGAAAAAAAATAACATTTACTGGAAGATGAATGCTATAACAAGCTAGGATGATCTGCATGCAACACTATTTTTCCATGCACCTAATTCTATAATGCATTATTCCTTGTTCAAGTGTTTATTCCTGATCCTTGTAGTCATGATTCAACCTCTTGGGAACAGAGACTTATTAACTGTGTTTCATTCCTCACAGGATTTTGAATTGCTTGTGGCTTGCTCAGAATGCACAAGCACAGTTGTCACTGGCTGGAACAGGCATTGTGCTGGCTGTGCATTCCTTACATTGCTACCTACAGACTGATGGATTGATCTGAAAATGCCACAGGCAGTTTTAAAATCCCTTGCTGGGATTGGCCTCAGATTGGCTTTAGGGAGATCTGAAGCTCACTGACTGAAACTTGCGCTGATGCCTATCAGTTGTCAAACTCCACTACTATTAAGTGTTTTTAGTCTCATGCCCAAAGTCAGCAGGCAATCACAAGTCTGCTGCACTGGACCATATGGTATGGAAGACATTGTCCACTAAAATCCCTGGCTTTTTTTACACAGAAATCTCGGATCTTTTCCTCTATTCAAATTGTTCCCCCTGCCCTGTTTCCCACTCCCCACAGTGTAAATCAGCCTCTGAGAACTCATCTGTAAAGCCCCTTGCTAGCTTCAGTTTCAAATTCTGTCAGTGATTCCATTTCTGCAGTATTGCTCTTGCAAACCTCAGTCCTGTGTGAAGAAAATGTCCTCTACTGCTGATTTTCCTTGTGCGTGTGTGTGTTATTTTAGGAGTCAGGGGAAATTTCAGATTTTGCTATGTATGAGTACCAATACCAACAACAAAATCTGTTTTAGCATGATCTGGTGGCTATACTTTTTAAATATACCCTTATTTAATTTTAATAGGTTATGCTTAGGCATGTGACATCTTAGCATAGTTTTATTACTCCATGTGTGTATACATATATGCACTTGTAATGACATTCAAGTGCCACGCCAAGCAAAAAGAAATTCTAGGAATACAATTAATAGCCACAATTAGTATTAAGGATATATTGTCATCTTACATTATAATTTCTGTATTAAAAAGAATTTTTACTACACAGCCTATATTGAAGGGCATCTTACATCCAGCAGCAGAAACTCATACCAGTATTACTGGTATCTTTGTATAGGACATACCTTTTCAGAGCAGCTGTAATCTTTGGTTTCCAAGCTAAAGTTAGGTTTCTCCAAGGACTTCGCATGATTTGAGCTAGTAGCTCTGCCTCTAAGCCTTCATCTGCTAGGGACCTTACTTTCTGAAGGGCTTGCCCTAGACCTCAGGCCAGCCAGAGGTTCCCAAGCAGAAGCAACACTTTTTGATCAGCATGGAGGAAGCCAGCAAGGGTTATCATGAAGGGTTGTTCTCACCTCCCCTTTGTCAGCTGCCACGGCGTTACGAAGGCCATTCCCTCTTTCTCACTGTGAGCTAATCGAAGGTCTCTGCCAGAGTGAAGACACATTTGAATAAAAAGACTAAAGGCCAGAGTTGCAGAGTTTTTAGTTTCAGTGTTTGTCACTGCCTCACTAACTCCAAGTAAGCTGTATTATATTTGTGGAACAGAAATATTGATGTTAGGGCTAGAGTTCCTCAAGAATGATATTAGGTCAGACAACACGTTGCATGAGAACGGAATAGCACCTGAAATTTTTCATTTGGGCCCTGACTCAGATATGCTGTGCAGCTACAACTATCGCAATGCACTATTGTGCACTAGGAAATAGGCTAGAAATAGTAAAAATAGGAAGAAGGCCAGAAAAATACCTTAGAGAGTACCAAAGCATAACCCCATTAATGAATAAATTAGAGAATCCTTCCTGACTATATGTTGTTTCTTGTTAGGTTCTAAAATGTTTGTACTCCTATTGATATTCCCCTGTCTCTATGTAGTTACACCAGAGCACTACATCTGTTCTTGTCATGGCTTTGTAGCATTGGTGGGTTACAGCCACTTTAAAAACTGAATATCAACCAGAACCTGTTCCCATTTATAGAACTCTGAAGACACTGAGGGTGCTCGTAATCATGCAGACACCAATTTATCAACACTTGGACACTACCATACATCTTTACAAGATGTTTCACTATTCTTTAGTTTCCTATCTGTTTTCTCCAGTCTTTCACAATGCTATATATTATCTAACATTATTTTTCTTCTATTTTTATCTTTTTTTCTTTTTAATAAATCTTAGTTTCTTGAAAGGACCATAAAAGAAATAAAATCAGAACCAAACATTGCCAGGTTAATAAATGGTTAAAAGGGTGGTGTCATAGTCAGGGGTTTGGGTGTCTTGAACACAGGACCCAAGTTTGTAGGCTAGGTCTACTGGGGGCTGGTGGAGCTGCTCTAGGGGGAAGAGTGGTTTTTGGTAGGAGGCTTGCCAGACTGGTCAAGGAGGCTTTAAACTAGATGAGTTGGGGGTGGGGGGCATCATTGCATCTCAACACACCCAGTCAGTTGCCAGCACATATAATAAATACTGGGAGCAATGTAGAGATATCCCAGCCACTCCGGCCAATGAGCCACCTTCAGTTGGAGCTCGGCTCAGATGCCTCTATACAAATGCCCGTAGCATGGGGAACAAACAAGAGGAATTAGAGATGTGGGCACGTCTACAGGGGTATGATATAATTGGCATCGCATAAACATGGTGGGATGGCTGCTATGACTGGAGTGTTGGAATGGAAGGTTACAGGCTCTTTAGGAGAGACAGGCGCTGCAGGTGAGTAGGGGAAGTTGCCCTTTATGTTAGGGATAGGCTGGAGAGTATGGAACTGTGTCTGGGGACAGGTGAGCAGTTAACAGAGAGTTTGTAGGTCAGGGTTAAAGGGAGAACAGTTCTGGGGGACACTATTGTGGGGATCTGTTACAGACAGCCTGATCAAGGAGAGCCTGCACGTGAAGCACTCCATAGACAAATAGGAAAAGCCTCACGCTCGCAGGCCCTGGTTCTCATGGGTGACTTCAACCACCCTGACATCTCTTAGAGCAGCAGTATGGCCAGGCACAAACAATCCAGGAGGTTCCTCGATTGTGTGGAAGACAACTTCCTTCTGCAAGTAACAGAGGAGCTGACAAGGAGAGGTGCCATGCTTGACCTCGTGCTCACCAACAGGGAAGGGCTTGCTGGAAATGTGACTCTCCAGGGCAGCCTTGGATGCAGTGACCACAAGATGGTCAAATTTGAGATCCTCAGGACAGTGAGAAGAGCATGCGGATAGCTCAGTGCCCTGGACTTCAAGAGAACAGACTTTGGCCTCTTCAGGAACCTGCTTAGTAAGGTTCCATGGAATACAGCTCTACAGGGAAGGGGGGCCCAAGGCTCTTGGTTGATAGTCAAGGAACATCTGCTAGAAGCTCAGGAGTGTTGCATCCCAACTAAAAGGAAGTGCAGAAGGAGGACCAGGAGACCTCCTTGGATGGATAATGAGCTCCTGAGGAAAAAATGAAGGAAAAAAGGGGCTTATAAAAGGTGGAAGCAAGGATAGGCAGCCGGGGAAGAATACAGGGATTTTGTCTGGGAAGCTAGGGACCAGTTTAGGAAAGCTAAGGCCCAGTTAGAATTAAACTTAGCTAGAGGTATTAAAGATAACAGGAAGGGATTCTACAGGTACATAGCAAATAAAAAAACAGACTAGGGAGAATGTAGGCCCCCTCAGGAAGCAATCGGGAGAACTGGCTACACAGGATTTGGAGAAGGCTGAGGTTCTGAATGACTTCTTTGCCTTGGTCTTCACTGACAAAGGCTCTGACTGCACCACCCAAGTCTTGGAAGGCAGACACAGGGACTGTGAGAATGAAGACCATGGGGCCACTGTAGGAGAGGACCTGGTTTGAGACCATCTTAAAACTCTGAACTTACACAAGTCCGTGGGACCTGATGAAATCCATCCGCAGGTCCTGAAGGAGCTGGTGAATGAAGTTGCTAAGCCACTGTCCATCATATTTGAAAAATCATGCCAGTCAGGTGAAGTTCCTGACGACTGGAAAAAGGGAAATATAACCCCCATTTTCAAGAAGGGGGAAATGGATGACCCAGGGAGTTACAGACCAGTCAGTCTCATCTCTGTGCCTGGCAAAATCTTGGAGCAGATTCTCCTGGAAGGCATGCTAAGGCACATGAAAAACAACAAGATGCTTGGTGACAGCCAGCATGGCTTCACTAAGGGGAAATCCTGCCTGACCAATCTGGTGGCCTTCTGTGATGGGGCTATAGAACTAATGCACAGGGGTAGAGGAATTGATGTCATCTACCTGGACTTGTGGAAAGTGTTTGACACTGTCCCACATGATATCCTTGTCTCTAAATTGGTGAGACATCAATTTGATTCATGGAGCGTTCAGTGGATAAAGAACTGTCTGGATGGCTGCACACAAAGAGTTGTGGTCAATGTCTCAATGTCCGGCTGGAGACCAGTAATGAGTGGTGTCCTTCAGGGATCGATGTTGGGACCAGTCTTGTTCAACATCTGTTGGTGATGTGGACAGTGGGATTGTGTGCACCCTCAGCAATTTTGCCAACGACATCAAGCTGTGTGGTTTGGTTGATAGACTGGTGGGTACGAATGCCATCCAGAGGGACCTTGACACACTTGTGAGGGGGGTTGATGACAACCTTATGTAGTTTAACCATGACAAGTGTGACGTCTTACACCTCTACTGGGGCAATCGCAGGCACACCTACAGGATGGGCAAAATAGAGATTCAGGGCAGTCCTGCAGAGAAGCAATTGTGGGTGTTAGTCGATGAGAAAATGAACATGAGCTGGCAGTGTGCGCTCGCAGCCCAGAAAGCCAACCATATCATGGGCTGCATCAAAAGGAGCATGACCAGCAGGTCAAAGGAGGTGATCCTGCCCCTCTACTCTGCTCTTGTGAGACCTCACCTGGAGTATTGTGTGCAGTTCTGGTGCCCTCAACATGAAAAGGACATGGAACTCTTAGAACAAGTCCAGAGGAGGGCCACAAGGATGATCAGGGGACTGGAGCACCTCCCATATGAAGACAGGCTGAGGAAGTTGGGGCTGTTCAGCCTGGAGAAGAGAAGGCTGCTTGGAGACCTCATAGCAGCCTTCCAGTATCTGAAGGGGGCCTACAGGGATGCTGGGGAGGGACTCTTCATTAGGGACTGTAGTGACAGGACAAGGGGTAATGAGCTCAAACTTAAACAGGGGAAGTTTAGGTTGGATATAAGGAAGAAATTCTTTCCTGTTAGGGTGGTGAGGTACTGGAATGGGTTGCCCAGGGAGGCTGTGAATGCCCCATCCCTGGCAGTGTTCAAGGCCAGGTTGGACGAAGCCTTGGGTGACATGATTTAGCATGAGGTGTCCCTGCCCATGGCATTGGGGGTGGAACTAGATTATCTTAAGGTCCTTTCCAACCCTAACTATTCTATGATTCTATAAACAAAAACGAAGCAAATTCAGTAAATGAAAAATTATTCCAGAAGGAAAAGCAAGTCCTAACTTCAAATTAAGGATGGAAAAATATTCTGATAACGTTGAATCAGTTCTTCGCATTAGTTTGTTATTCTGGTTTGCTGTTCTTCATCAAAGCTCTGTATCTGCTAATAGTCACATCTTCATAACCACATTATTCTCTCTGATCTATAGCAATTTTAAAAGAATCATGTTAAATGGTATTTGCCTATTAAGTATTTGCATTACTTTTCACCGGATTTTTATTGGAATATACCAGACTTGTATTCAAAGGAGATTTTACTTATATTCATACAATTAAAGTACTTAATCATTATTAATCATGATTTACAAACCAGTGTTTGAGTTATAAAAGTAACACAAAATACTTGCAACGCTTTCTTGCTGCAAACATAAACATCATCCTGTTAGCCTAGAATTTCAGTATGTCAGAATATGAAGTTCCTTAAACTTACAAAATACTAATTAACAGAAATTCTAATATTCTAATTAGTGATAACCTGATTGCATTAGATTGGTCCTTGGAAATGCCCTATCTGTGTGCAAATTTGATTGTGGGAAGCAGGAAATCTGTGATTTTTGCCCCTAAATTTGTATGCTTCGGTATTTCCTTCACCTACAAGCAAACTGAAGTCCTATGTAGACAAATAGAGGGAAGCCAAACCAGCAATTCTGGTGAAGCTACAGCTCATTAAAGATGCAAATTAAAAATGCTAACAACAGAGATTTGCTTAACCTTGTACCAGAGTACAAATCTCTAATCTGATCCTTATATAAGGTTGGTTGATTTATTACAAAGTTTAATAAAGAAGTCCCTTGGGGCATTAAAACTGAAAGTTCATTGTAGGAGATGTTACTTCAGTAAGCGTTACTTAAGGATTAGTTTCAAACTTACAGGAAAATTATCTGTTTCAATTTGGAATAGAGAAACAGGATATGTTCATAAATGGTTCTGGACAGTATTCACAAGTGTTTGGTTGTAGAATTTAAGTTTGAGGAAAAATCTCTTATTTGCTTCTGCTGGTCAAAACTGTTCTCTGTGAGGGACTCTATTACTAGTTCATCACAATAACTCCAAAGGACACGTGCTCAAGGTTGGATTGCTTTTTGGATGCATCTGTTTCATGTTTGTCTTACAAGATTTAGGGAAATACCACATTACCAAAAGAACTTACCCGATCCCCACCTCTCCCCTCCCACCCCACCCCCCCCCAAAAAAAAAATTCCATAGAAAATACAATGTTTCTGGGTCAGGTGCTTCTGTCCCAAATCATACAGTATTTAGCTCAAGGTTTGTTTTGTTCTCCTCACAGTGCTGTCTGCTGTAGGTGAAAGTGTGAATGTATGTTCTTCCTCTTTCCACCCATTTAATAAAATTCTGTCGCTTATAGCTAGAGGAAAAAAAAGCAACAAACCCTTGGAAACGTGACCTGAACTGCGATGACAGAAAATGATGTCATACTATCTGTGTTTAAAGAGCAAGCCAAGGTTGCACAAAAGTGGGTATACGATTAAGCTGATCTACTGTGTGTTGGCTGAAAGACTGTTAATATGATTAAAGCACAGAAGCTGATATTCAGTATTTAGAGTGTTGAAGCTCTTTCACTACTTGTCTATCAGCATAATGGGAAAAGCTGAACATATGTTTAGGACCAGGAAATATCTCTCTTCATATCTGACACTTATATTCTGTTCCAATCCGTACTTCACAAGGTATGAGTGACAACTGTTGGTCATAGGTTTTCCTTCCGATTTTTACCACACAATTAACAGACAATTGTTCCTAATAGTCCACACTTTTAAAAAAGTGATAAGGTATGTATGATTCTATTTTCTAAATTATTGAATTTAAACAACATAAAATAAATTACACCTCTGCATTCAATTTATCAGGATTTCTCTGCAGATACACTCAGGTATGGCAGCAGCATCATACACACAGACCAAAAAAAGGGCCCTCTGCACCTCTTTGGGTTTATCTTTACAGCTTCCATTGAAATTCCACTTACACAACATTGTAATTACTCCAGCCTTGCCACAGTTCAAGTAACTCAAGAGAGTACAGTTTGGAATCACTTTGCCACATGCCAAACAGCAAGCAGTAAATCTTTGACAACGTAAGTTAGTCACTTACAGAAATAATTCCCTAGATTTAGTATTATATTTTATGGTCACAATATTATTTAATTGAATTTCTGATCCCTCATTCATAAAATTCTATATTATCCAATTTTTTTTATACCTACATGTTTGCAGGGTAACTTACAGTACACAATCATAAAATACCCTGCTGTGAAGAATATGACATATACTGGTGCATTTCTGAATGTCATGGAGCTGAACCAATCTAAGCTGTAAAAACTGTTCCTTTAGAAAAAACACAACTTTGTAAGCATTAATCCAGTATAAGAAACATTTTTGACCTCTATACTTTAAAGAATACAGGAAGTGTATTTGTTATCATGTGCATTTTTAGCTGTGTTACTGAAACTGCGTGTTCAGAAGCTGAAGTGGTAGCATAGGAAAGAAAAGATAACTCGTTTAAAACAGTAAATAACCTGCAATTCAGCCCACATCTTGGAATAAATCCAGCTTTTTTACAGGGCATTGATATGCCCAGTCCTGCCAGTTCTCTTGCACAAATTGTGTATGACAACCATAATCTGAAATACAATTCCACTCTCTTCATTTTGTCCAAGAAAACAGTTTTCTCCTCCTTGATATTAAGCATACTGGTCTGTAATGAGTAAAATTTCATCACTTTTTTTATTTTCATAGACTTTTCATTCACAGAATATTATCAATATATATAAATAGAATGAAAAAATAGAATATATATTATTTGCAGTTAAAAATAGCTATGACACTTATGATGGTGGCAAAATAGTTTGCCTATTGGGGGTGAGGAGAAATTCTCATGTACCTTACAGACAGTTTAATATCAGACTCCTTAGTTAACTTGATATGCAAATGCTATGTTCAGTACACGTACAAAACTTTCTTTTCAATCAATATTTATATTATAAAAATAATTTCTTACTTAATAGCAATAATTATATAATTCCACTAAAGATGTGAATTTCAAATTGCTTCCGATTTGAACAGAGGTTTAACATTCCACTGTGGAAGGGAAGCTAACGTTCATAAATAGCTGAAATTCTAATGAATGCTCAGGAAATGTTTCTGCTATTTGTTTGTCTCAGCTTGCTTTTTAGAACTGAGAATATTTTAATTCACCTGATATATAACTGTATTTCAGGTCCCCATTTTAAATCATGCAATCATCAATTATTTTTTTTTCATATTTAAGGGAAAAGGAATATCTAGGAAAATGGATTTTTTTTTTTTTAACAAAATCTTAAGTAATTTTAAATGGTATAGTTTCCAGTTAGTCATCCAGTTGGACAAACCACTTAGAGTCTCTAGATCTTACCTGAACAAAACACAGTGGACAGAAAAGAGAAATCTTTCACACTTATTGCACTGACATCAAAGAAACAAATTAAGCTAGTAAACTTCAGACTTGTCTCTCACATTTGTCTTTAAGGATGGTGCAGAAAATATTCTCTACTGTGCAGCACAATAGAGGCAAGACATTACATTCTGATGGCAATGGAAATTATTTTCTCTGGGCTGCCCAGAAGGAACTTGAAAAAATTATCATAAAATCTTTCAGTAGCAAAATTGCTGGGGAATTTCAATTAACTAGGTTTCTAGGACAGTTAGTGTAGAAATTAAAAGATGTGTCAAAAGTCTCATCCCATGGCAAGAGCATTAGTTCTTCAGAAAAGAAAGGTTAGACTTTTGATGCGAATTTTCAGCAGCTTCCTTATCTTAATAGAAACAAGTACATACAGAATGCAACTACAATGATAATTTTTTTTTACCACCACAGATTTACTGCCATTAGCAAAATGTCTTGACTGGGAATCTACTGCATATTTAACCAATAATTTGAAATTCCATTTGTTCTGCCGAGTAATGTTAGGTATCAGGTGCTCTGGGATAGTTTCCATTGCCTTTGATGTTTAGTATTGACCCATGAATGCTTTCAGCATCTGACTCACACCAAATTGTAATCCAAGTAGAACTGGATTATTTACCTGGAACCATTTGCAGAAAGCTGTGAACAGAGGCAAAATAGCTTGTAAAAATATGAAACAGCCTGTTACAGGGTAAGTAGTAGATAACTAAAACGCTAAACATAACCAAACACTCATACTCATTGGATTACTGAAAATCTGGTAAATACATTATGTTGACTTAATTATTTTTTTTTGATCTATCAAGGAATTTAAATCAGTTTATAACCTCTGAAATTGTGCTTGTTCATGTAGAGATTTTTTTTGAAGAACCAGTACAAATAAAGGTTTTGTGCAAGCACTCACATTACACAGATCAGTTTGAACTCACAGTTACTTAATATTGCCCATTTCTCTGCTGTTTATATCTGAAACAAATCTAAACCTCCAGCTTTGACTAAGCTAATGACAACATAATAAAACATTTCCAAGAACTTTAGCTTAGTCAGAGTTCTTCTCCATCACATATCAAACTGAGACCTTAATTTGTTCTGTTCTTTTGTCTTCACATCTGTGTTTCCATTTCATTTTTAAAAACTAGCATAAGATGACTGACATTTCAGAGGGTGTGAATTAGATATGTATAGATGCCTCAGAAAACCTTTAACTGTTTTGAGTGGAGAGTCTAAATGAAAGCCTTGATCTCCTTACACATATTAGAAATATTCACCTATTGAAAATATTCCTTCTTTTACTGAGCTGCTGATAAAAAACACAAACACAAAAAGTACACAGGGCTTTGACACATTTCATTAAGGCAGAAGAGGATGAGTATGATTGTTGATAACTCCTACTTATTTCATGCCCTTGAAGAGTCTTTCCCTGCATTTCTAATTTTGCCTGCTGCTGCAAAATATCAAGTACCTCTCTCTCTATTCCCATGCATTAAATACAAAGCTGATTTTCCCTCTAAGTTTAAAGGAAGTAAGTCCATAGGAGCTCCATTAATTTTACTTGAAATACAGCAAAGTAAGTACTGATAAGGATAAAATTAGACCTTTATAGATTCATCAGCTCAGAATATACACGGGGGTTTTACTCTGAAAACATAGGTTGACTGATACCACAACAGAATGGGTAGAAGTCTGGGTGCTGTGGATCTACAGTTTCTTGTAAAACAACAAGCATGCTGTCAAATGCATAATTAGTACCTATTTTCAGAATTTTTTTGCAGTGATACAAGTGGCAGTAAATGGTAAGCATATATTTTAGAAGAATTTAGAATTGTTAAATCCATTGTGTTTCTGTTCAGATGCATGCTGTTCTAGGAATTCAGTTAGGTCACCACAAGAAAGTTAAGAACATTTGAAAACCATGTTGTATAACAGTAATTATCAGAGTACTGCACAATGTACTACATACCTTCATTGGCAGTTAAGACTGAAGAAATTGAAAATACTTCAACACTTCGCAGATGGAAGGTTGTGCTTTGTCAGTGGGTGGAGCAGCTTTATCCATTTTGTTTACATGTTATTGCAATTACTATAGCAAAAAGGTTGTCCATTGTAATTCAGCATAAATTACTTGGACCATTGTGTTAACATGTCACTTGTCTTCCAGCTCATCGGCAATAACCTGATAGACAGAACTAGTAAGTAAATATTTGGTAAGCAATCCTTTTTCATTACAGCAATTTATAGTTATAGTGCTTTCCCTCCTCAAAAATTGAATATATATAATTGTTCTTCCTTTAAGTTTAATGCTAGGTTTCAAACTGGTGGACAGGAAAGCATCATAAGAGATGTTATTCTAGTGTTGCTTTCCCTCCTGTACAATGATTTGAACTCAAGCAATAAAGTTAAATGGAAAAGACACTATACTAGATTTTCAATTACAGCAGAGGCAGGGAGCCACAATTATCCCTTTCATTACTGAAATACTTCTCATAGCTACACAGGCAGAATCCCTGCTGCTGATACTTCTGCTATTCCTGTTGCTATTACTGCTGCTCTTCAACTGAAGTGCCCTTGAAAACAGGTAAGGTTATTGGTCATAAAACAGAAGTTCAAATTTTGAAAAAGTATATGTAAAGGAAAATGAAAAGTAAAAAAAAGAAAAAGGAGCAGGAACACAGAGACATTCAGACCTTCTTTTTCCTTATCTCTGCTGCAAAGATATGACGTCTCTCCAGATCAGTAATAAATTATCATAGTGGCAACTGTGCCATTAGGTTGTCAAAGCAAACAAAATATGAGTGTGAGCCTTGTCTGTCTTTTAACAGTATTTATATCGAGAGTATTTTGTACCAAGAATCCACTGACTGAACAATTGGGTGCATTCCATCTCTGGTGTATCCATCCTTTACTGTGTTAAAAATTACCAAGAAAAATATTCCTTTTTTAATTATTTTTAACATCTTTACATGAAAAGCATTGTATTTCAAGAGCAGTTCTTTATTTTGTCTACTTCACTTTGGAAGTGAATACCCTTTCTACCAAGCATATAAAACTAACCGACCAATTCAAGAGTGGAACTGCAAATTACAAATATTTGCATACCCTTGAAAGTGGTTTGCCTTAGCCTTTTGTGGAACAACAATTCAGACCTTGCTTACCGGTCTCCTGTGTGATTCAGACTTGGGTCCTGTACAAGAACTGTACAAGGCAAAAAAAAAAATGAAGAAAGGGCCATACATCATCTTTCCTTCAGTACTGGAAAAAATCATGACCTATCTCAATACTGATGAAGACGAAAGAAGAGTTTTAAAACAGTAAGTGTCAAGATTCTGTTTCAGTCTGAGCAAAATATGTATCAGGAAACATAAAGTTTATGTAAAAGGCAAGAAAAACTGTCAAAGGGCAACAGGCAATAGATTACATAAAATATTTGTACCTGCTCACTGCAGATAAAATAGCTAAAATACATTCAGCAAATTGGACACGATGATCCCTGCCGCACAGCAAGACCAAACATCATCTTCAACTAAGAGTCTTAGCACTCTTCTGTTAACAACAGGATAAAGGTATGCTGCAAGGAACACATCACGTATTGATAAATCATGAGAGAACTGCAGTCATCCAGAAGTCTTGCTGAAAATTTCAGTCATGAAGAAAGAACTGCCCAATCTTTAGTATTACCTGATGAATAATGAAGTCCAGAGAAAACGTCGCTAGAGGAAGCATACTTTTCAAAATACTTCAAAAATGTCATACTTTTACCAGAAAATAATAAAAGCAAAATCTTTTGAAATATCTCATAAACCTCTTCCTTCTTTCCTTCTTTCAGTCCTGGATCATATGAAGTCAAAGGCTTTGGGAAACAGTTTTTTGTGGCTTTTGATTGTTTTTTTTTCTCTTCTTGGACAAAACTGAAACACACATAATAATGAGTGAAATAATCTGCTCCTTCAGACTCACACTGCACAAGTAGAATCACATGTGATTATGTAAACACACCATATTTTATTCATGCTATAAGTTATTTACCATCTAATTACAATTATCAGGCACACTTTTTTTTTTTTTTGCAGGGGAACTAGAATGCCAATAACTTTCTAATGACTTTCTAATAGCAATTATTACTTTGAGTAGTGAACGAGCCTTTTCTGACTCTTATCAGTAGAAAATATTAAGAGCCTCAGGAACACTTTCTCTGAATAGAATAATCTTTCTGAACTCTAAAACCATTTTTTTGATAGCCTTGCAATTTACACTCTTACTAAACAACTACTCTGCAGTGGAGTGCAAGACGCACTGTATGTCACTGTGTGATAGTGTCTGATCCCAAAATTTTACATGGCAAAATACATGGCATTAATTAGAAATGTAGAACAAGAGGGTATTCAGATCAGCCACAACGTCAGCAGTTTCGTTTCTTGTACAAGCAGTCATATATTGCATACCCATGTAAAAGAATTCTTATGTGCAATTGAAATAACTACAAAATCATTCTCCGTATGCATAGTAATACAGGTATTACGGCAAATTTAAAACTTGAGTTCTGTCCTATTATATTCTTTTTCCCAAAGACCATGCAGTGCTGTCAAATTTCAACTTTAAGTACAGTTACTATTAAATATAATTTGTTCCTTCTTCCTTTTTTTCTCCCACCCTCTCCTGAGAGAAGACACATTAGTACCTTTCTCAGGAAACATTTACTTTTTTTTTTTTTAGTTTTAAATGCAATACTATGTATCTCAAAAAGGTTGTTCTAGTAACAGAATAAGCATAAAGAGAGCAACTGACATAATTAAGGGCATCTCACCTTCTTAAATGGTGAAATAAAAACAACTGTGTATCCTTCAATTTGCAGAGAAGAACAAGGCAAGATCAGGTTTTCAGATTCATTAAGGGAGTGGAAAAGGTGAGCATGGAACTGTTAGTCACTGATTCTCTGATCTGAGAATTAGGGAAAACCCATTGAGACAACCAGGAGATCAATTTAAAACAGATGAAAGAAAATATTTCTTTCACAGTGGTGTGAAATTTTCTGGACTCTCTTTCTACAGGAGACTGTGGAAGTAGATGGTATCAGCTGCTTCGAACAGGGATTAGGCAAATTCATAAATGATAGGCTTCTAAACTTGATGATGAGATTAACAGTCAGGATCATGAATCCTGTAACTGTAAAGAAGTATGAGGAAAATGAATATCAGATATTGGCCAGATTGATGTGCCTTCCCGAAATGCTTACTGTCACTGAACTTGGTGGACTATTTCATCTGATCCTTTCCTACACTACTTTAACATGCTAAGTATAAGGCTTACTCTTAATTATGCTAAAGAGATCAATTTCAGTATCTGCTTAAATACTTTTCTGACATTTATACCCAAAGCAAGCATGACCAGTCAAAACTAAGGAAACTAACAATCAGCTGGGAATCATAAATGTTTCTAACTCTTGCAGTGATTTTCTAAGTGAACCCATAATGAATATTTAGAGATAAATGGGCTGGTACAGGCAATTGGTATTTAAGTCTTCCTATAAACAATCCAGGAAAAAAAACATTAAGAAATGTAAGAAATATGGCTGTATTTTATGCATTAGGCAAACATTCACTTCTGCAACTCATGTAGTTTAGTATATTCTACACATTTATGAGTTGAAATAGCACCCACAGATGCATTTCTTTATACGGTAAAGGACAAACCATAGATCCAAAGATAAAGCATAATGTGGGCATATTAAAATATTTTTCTTCATTTTAAAGCAAACAAAAAAGAAATGAAAACAACAAATATACTAGACTGCAGATTGGAAAATACTGCAAATTTCATGCCATTTCAAGATGTTAATTTTTCTTCCCTCATTATACATATGTTTAGTAGATGTACTGAGATTTACTACTTATATGTTAAATACAAATTTAAACTGAAAAATAAGAGCATCATCTTATCGTTTCTTTCATGAATACTATTTAAGATGAAAAATATATATTAAAAAAAAAAATCCCACCTAAGATTCCTTTTCCAAATGAATCCCTCCTTTCACATTCACTACATCTAGTCTCCCATTCTTTGGAAGCTTTTTTGCAGAGTATGTCTCCTCCTTTGAACAGTTCAAGCAGTGTCCTTGTCCCCACCCTGTATTTGAAGAAGCATTGATCTCTTCAGCACATGCTGATATTGCTTTCCATCCTTCTCCGCTTTTCCTCCAGGATCTTAGTTTATTCCAGGTTTTCCTGTCTCCCAAGTTATTACCTACCACACTGAGTCACTGCAGAGCTGGAGAAAGACGCAAATGAGTCTTTGTGCCAGCTGCCTCTTATCAGCTCAGCCAAAGGCTGAATGCCAGGAAAACAAGAAACAGGAGGAAGGCAGGATAAAAGACTGAAAGTATGGGCAGAATACTAAATATCTGCAGGCAAGAATGAAAAGAGAAACTGCTGCTGACCACCTACCTTAATTTTTCTTACCACATTTTCTCATAGCAACTTGTATTTTTTCTTTTTTTTTTTAATTTACATCCAATGTAAATGGATAAGCCAAGAACTGATGCTGCTCTGTAACAATACAGCATCCAAGAGATTAATTGCCTTTTTTTTTTCTTTCCTTCTACTAACTATAAGTCAAGAAAAAAAAAATTAGAATTTGTGATGAGGGGTAGACTTTGTTATATTACTTGGGAGCAAAACTAAACAGCCCACAGTTTATGGACAGTAATTCAAATACTTTTTTTCTCAAAAGCAACCACACAAACATCCTTCCACCTCTTTGCAACCTCTTCAGTGTTCTAAGTGTATAGACTGAAAAGTCTGTGGATAGAATCTGCCCTTAATTTTGAACAAACAATTCAGGTTGAATTAAAACTTGAATGAAAATCAGTTTCTCTACAGAATGTAATTCAGGGAAAAAGAGCTCCTGCAAGCTTAGATTCTCTCTGCTGTTCGCAGGAGCAAGGATCCATAACATAAATAATACTGCAAGGATCCATTCTTGGAGATAACAATTCTGTTTAATCAGAAATTTTATTGCATGATCTTTCCCTGCATGGAACTTCTAACACTGACCGTGGGTCACATCACTCACAGCATTCAGCTGTTCACACAAAACCCAATTCAAAAAGACAAGACTTCAGCAGCAGTCGTGTACGTACATATGTGAGGCCTGCTATAGGAGATACATGAAATATGCATTTATCTAAATAGAAGCAGAAGGCTTTAAAAGTGATTTTGTATATTTATGAGAAT